TAGGGGGGCCAAGACCAAAAAACCAGAAAAACCAAAAAAAAAAACAGATAGGGTCCACTTTTGCAACAAGTACAGCCACACGGTCATCATCATTCCAATCATCACTTAGGAACAAACTCAAAACATGAGATTTATCTGTCTCTTACTATCTGAAGTTCGGAAACTCATTGTTTACACCACAAATATACAGTAAATAAAACCAAAGTCAAACAACAACAACAACAACAAGCAAAATGTAAGATGATCTATAGAAGAAAAAAGCTATCTTTTTCCAAGGATAATAAGCTTTTCATTGGTGTCGCAATTAATTTAGCTGCCGTATGTTTTCACCTTCGTTTATGCTACAAAAAAAAGTCAGTTCAATTTCATGAATATCTGACATTTGACCAAGAAAACCCAATGATCCAATAAGGATATCTTCATTTCAGCATTCCGAGTTCTAATATCAATTTATCAACTAGAGCTCGGCCACAAGGAGCTGAGGTCTGGAGGCCAGTTTCGCACTCTTGTAGTCCTCTCTGAGACTGAATAAACCTGAAGTTGCATAAACCATTTTGAAAATTTATTCGTTCTCATATAAGTAGAGAGGAAAATATGCCAAAAAAGATGCACGGAGGGGAGAGAGGAGAGAGGTATGACTGTATTTTCTAAAATAGCAAAGGCATAATGTGCTCCATCCGTTAAGTCTTATAGCCTAAAAAACAAGTGAATTCAACTGCGAAGTTTTATAAAATCCACCCTTGGGCTGTGTTTTGATTTCGATTTGAGAAAGGATAGGAAGGAAAGGGAAGAAGTGGATGAATTAGAAGATAAAATATTCTCCCCTTTTTCCTACTCCTTTTTGTTTTCTCCTCCACAACAATAAACCAAGATTTCAAACACATGGCCTTCATGTCTTTTGCGGAAAGAAAACTTTATGCCTGTTCAACACAGCTTTAACATTAACCAGGAAATTAATCTTTCACATGGTTTTTCCAAAAAATGCCAATTTAATACTTCTTTTAAGTAAATACATAACTCATAATTATATCCACAATTACCTTTTGTGCGTCTTTCCGAATGACTGGTGGTTTACCCTCAAACAGAGAGGAGAGGGGGACCTTTCCAGGAGCAAAACAATAAAGACATTGGCCAAGCTGGAAACGAAATTTTTTGCAACAGTAAATCAAAGATAGAATATGCTACATAAAATGCCTGAGAACAAACCAACCCATTGCAACTTTACATGCCCCAACAATACAAATTTTGGCGATCAACACTAGAGCATTGAAACTGCGCACAAAACTCCCCTACTCAGTTATGTTCACGCTTTCAGACGCAGTCCTCCACTAGAAAAGAGATAAACCAACAGATAAGGAAGCAGATAACAACAAGTCGAAGGAATTTTGGCTATTTTTAGGTTGGCTTTTTCGCTTTTACGAAAAGATGTGCAAAAAAGTAGAAAGAGTGACGTTCAAACTCTATATCGACTTTTTGACTATATTAGCAACTTTCCCAAACAAGGGCCAAGTCTGTTCCCTCTTTATGTTCTTCCTTGTTCTTATGGTTGTCAGTGGTTATGTTTTTTTATTTGCTTGTGCATGTTTGGCATTATGTGCTAAATGGAAGAGAGCCAAGGGACTAATTGATAAAAGGACACAGGTTCTAGGGTGATATAAGAGCAAAATTACATTTTTTTTACCAGTCTCTAATCAACAGCATAGAATTGGAAATTGAAAGGTTTGTAAAGCAACTTTCGTTCATATTTATTGACAATTTACAACTAGTACAGAAAATGCAAAGTCACTTTTGATGCCAAATGGTCATCATTTGGCCACATACCAATATTTGTTCTTTTTTCTTTCAAATTCTCATTTCTTATTTCCCTTTGATGAATTAAGTACTCCAAATTTAGCACAAACACACAGCAATGAAATATAATTCACAATCTTTGTCACACGAATATGGATGTAGCCATAATCATTAGCCAAAACATATTTTAACCATGCCAATGTTCATGTAACTAATAAACATAATAAAGAGGCAAAGAAAGAATAAGGGCAAGGGTGCTACCTGGATTAAATGTTAAAACTTTCTCCAATGAAAAAGCAGCCCTTTTGTGCAAGCGGTTTCCCCTAAATCATAAATGCCACCGCATTGTTACTTGGAATATGCCAAATGAAATACTGTCAATGGATTGCGCCATGAAAATCACAAAAGATTGAAATGAAGGCCCCAAACAAAATAAGAAAGATAGATGTTCAATTGTCAGAGAAATTCTTGAGCTGTGATTGAAACCTTAAAAGGAATTATAAACACTTAATCAAATTTTAGCTGTTTTATGTAGTCATGAAATGGAACGTATCATAAAAGATAGCAGAAAAGAAAGAAGAAAACACATTTACCAATTCAGTCAAGAAGCATTGCTTTGTTAAGACCTTCCAGTGCAGTGAATGCAGCCTCAAGCACCGGGAAAGATATGCAACAACTCTGGTCAATAGGATATCATTAATAGGCAATGTTGAATCAATATGAGATGCGCGAAATCGAAGAGAGACAAGCAGACAAAAAGCTTTAAGGAAAAACAAAGGGCATTTCCAAAAGAATTGATATCACTGCATTTCGAAAATGTTCTCAAACACATATTTCATTTTAATGCAAAGAAACAATGGATTTCTTCAAATCCAAATAACAAATTCCACATTCTGTCAATTTGGATGGACCTTGTGCAAGCGATTGTTGTGCCGATGATCAGGAGCAATGCCATCATCAGGTGACTTTAATTGTAGGCTTTGTCAGCAGAGAGCAAGCCGCTCAACCTGTGCAAGAGATTAGAAGGGAATTATATTTTGAAAGCCAGAAAGCAGATCCAAATCATCACAACCACAATATAAACCTAAAGTATCAGGGCAAAACACTAAAAAAGAGTTATAACCACGGAGTGGTACCAACTTGACACTCGGATGAAACGACAGGGTAGAAGCATAAACTGCCACATAGTGGAAATGACCACCGATATCCAACTTGACACTCCGGACGAAACTGTGACATGAAGAGGATATGATGGCTTATAGTGCACAAATGGATCTAAATTAGAGTGTTTAGTTTGCAATTACAGACCTCAGCCATAACAGTTTCAATACATTGTTGAAGCCCCTGTATTAGCCAGCACCCTCTGCGGCGGGACATAGTGTAGCCATCTCTTCACATGAAGCAGCGTGTGCACCATCTACAGGTGGTAAAACCGAGATATAGAGTTTCGCAAATACTGCAGAAAAAATCAAATCAATTTTAATTACAAGAGAACTATCAGGCCTATCCTCTCACAAGCTTTAAGAGAAACATGTAAATGACAAAAAGTATTGCAGTCTAACATACTTGCTGAACAATAGCCACCACTGCTTGCCACCAACGTTGGACTGCCACCATGAAAGATCTGGAAACTGCTTTCACCAAGCAGGCATGCAGCAGCTTCAGCCTACACATCACCGATTCAACATTCATTAACTAAAAAAAGTTCAACTCTGCATGGACCTATTCTCTATTTGAAGCTTATATGAGTAAATCTTTATGTTACATACTATAATTACAGACTACACTAAAAAGGGATATATGGTGAGGACTTTAACAGCAGAAAGCAGCGTGCAGCAGCCACTCTTCTTACTAACACTTGTTCGAGCCACAAACCTCTCCCCTCAAAGCAGCAGCTTCAGTCAGGCTGTCTCTGTCGTTCCAAGCCCATCTGTAGTATATTGACTACCTGCAGGAAGAGGGAAGTCAAAGGTAACTACCCACAACATAGATGCCCACAATAATACTCAATGTCAGAAAATGGAGTAGACTTCTTTACTTGTCTAAGAGGCAGGTAAATACAGCTTATACATTGGCTGCAAGCCGCTAGCAGGCTGCTACACCAAGAAGTTAAGAATAGCGGAGTGAAAACCTTTATAAAATAATCTAAAATTTATAATTGCCTATTTAAAATCATAAATAAGTCCACAAGACAAAAAAAATTTCATGCAGTGATAATATAATTTTATTATCAATTATAAAATCAAAAACAAAAGGGGATATCAGAAGTCAATGCCAAGAAGCTGGTTATAATTATTGTTTTCCTTAAGACGATGTCTGGATGGCAGGAATAAAGAGAAAGGAAACTTATTCAGCATCTTCAATTCATTTCTGTTGTTTGGGTGTTCAAGACATGGAAATTATTCCACGTTATTCCATTCCAGGAAAATTGTGTTTAGTGTTTACCAATGTAAAGGGAATCCCACATTTCTGGACAACTTATGAACAACAAAAGCCATTGGTGGATCTCAACTTGCATTTGGTCTGAATTCTTTTCAATGGTCTATTAAGAGGCTATCTGCGTGTAGCATTTTCAAATTTGCTAAATCATCCACCACTTCATTAGTGCTTCTAATCACCAGTAGGAGCACTCTTCAGTTCAGTTTAAGTGTCTTAAAAGGGGATCTCACATTTAAAATTCCTTTAGCCACGCCTAAAGTGATAAGGATCAGAATGATCTCATGGGTACAAAAACTATTTCTTTGAAATTCCAGATAGGTTGAAAGATGCAAGCAGAAGCTGG